ATATATATATATATTCCTCACCTTGTTAAGTGATTTAGTAAACCTTTTGTTGAAGTCTTAGAGATGTAAATATTTAATTAGTCAATCAGTATCTTCTACTCTATTAACTCTAGGAAAAGACTCTTTAATTCCTATACCTATTATTTTTAAAAATATTTTATTTAGTATTTTTATTTTGTGTATGCGTGTATTGCCTGCATGTAGGTGTACCGATGTTGTGCAATGCCCACGGAGGACAGAAGAGACTGTCGGATCCCCTGGAACTGGAGTTATGGACAGTTGTTAGTTGCCATGTGGGTGCTGGGATTCAAACCCAGGACTTCTGCAAGAACAGTCAGTGTTCTTAACCACTGAGCCATCTCCCCAGCCCCACTGTACCTATATTTTATAGTTTTTCCTATACCTTGTTTTGTATTTCAACAATCATTTCTAAAAATTCTTAGTGTGATACTTGTAAGAATACTAATCTGCTATGGAAGGAAGACATTGGTAAGAAAAATGAAGTTTATAAAAATTGTATTACTTATTTAAAAATACAATAAGCTTCCACTGGCTGCCTGAAAAATGAGCCATGAATGTAGCATATTAGTCTGTTAGTTCATGGACTTTGTGATACGAAAACTGGATAACAGACTCCTCTATTTTTTTTCTAAATTATACTCAAAGCAACCAAGGTTGCTAAACAGACAAATTGCAGATAACTATTCTCAAGCAAAAATTTACTAAAAATAGCCAACTACATTTATTTCCCTTAGTCATTTCAAATTTGTCACCAGCTTCCAAGCAATAGCTCACTTAAGATAAAAACAATAAATCCCTTTCTCAGATCCAATGGAGCTAAGAACTTACCTTGATACTTAAGGTACTCCTGTTGAACCAAATGTCCTTTTAGTTATAAGGAAAGCTCTTAAGTGGCAAGTGGATGAAAATGTTAGTTTTGCTTAAATAAGCTATAAGGAAGAAAACAGACTCATAGCTACATTTCTAGAAGAAGACACTAGGAACACAAAGCAGATTTCTAAGAATCCTTTACACCTCCATCTCCACTTGCACTGCTTCAGCTGTTTTAACTATGTATCACCCTATATGCAATCATTTTCCCCACCACCTAAGAGAGTGTCTGGTTTAACTGTTCCTGAGAATGCGTATCTGAGTTCCCTCGAGCTGAATTAGACATTATATTCTTTTCACAGACAACAACTATCATAGAAACTTCCTAGGGTACCTTTTCACCTTTTTCTCTCCTTTGCCTACCAAGATATATGCTACATTGTTAACAGACTGTGTCCGAATGTTTTCTTATCCATAACTGCTTGATAGAAAAATAGTCATACTTTTTAGACTCTCATAGTATCAAAAGTATCATTGGTTTATGAGATTTGTAAAAGAACTAAAAACCTATGCTTGTTTTGCTTTTGTAATACCAGTCTTCAAAATAAACAGATATTATCACAATCATCAGAGGTTATCATGGTCATCAGAGAACCTACAAATCTTTCTAGCCTAAATATCATTTCCTCTTACTCTCAACCCCAACCTTAGATAGGCACCAGCCCTACATTATAGAGAAATGTTTTGACTGATACACTACAGCTGATGAGAAGGTGCCATTCTATCTCCTCCTATAGGTCTGAAGATTTAAGCAAAAAAGAAAACCGCTTTAAATTCAGGTTCTAATGCTAATTTTCCCAAATAAGGGCAGCAACATTCACATGCAAAGTCTTCTCTCTATTCAAGTCAGTTTAACCTAAAATATTTTAATAATTCATGAATAAAGCATAAATAATAGGTATCGCTGCAAATATTAAAATACCCCTTTATCTTTCAAAGTTCACATCAGATGTAGTGGTGCACACCTTTAGTCTCAGTACAGGCCAATCTCTGTGAGAACCAGGCCAGTCTGATCTATATAATGAGTTCTGGGTCAGTTGGGGCTACATTATAAGACCCTGTCTCAAAAAAAACAAAATTTTCAAATTTCATGGCAAAATTTTTGCAAGCATATTAAGTTTTTATATTTACTTAAAAATTCACAAAAAGACAGTTGCAAACAGTAGGAAAAACCAAGCAGACTATCCAAGAGCCCTTTTCCTTATTGATTCGTCACTTAAGCATGCATAATTAAAACAATCTATATTCCCTTGTTGCATAAAAGGGAGCCAACACCAAGATGGGGAAAAAACAAAGCTATTTTGAGCAACCCATAACCAAGCTGCTAAAACAAAATATACAAGACCCACAGTAACATTTGAGTCATTAAGAAGATCCTGTCCTCTTGTTTCATTTTCGGCGTGCACTTTCTGGTAATGTTCCGACAAATCAATAGCAGTTATACATCTTTTCATACATAATGGGCAGATGAAACCCTGTGAAATAACAACTTTTAGAAGGATAGATATTAAAATGTTTTTTTAAAAAAAAACAGAAAAAAACATAAGCATGCAAACATCTATAATAAAAAATTAACAAAACTATTTTTAATATGTGTAAAGGAAATGTTTAAAGAGTAGTTATACAAACATGAAAGATCTACACCAAGTAGGACTTCAAAGATTAGTTCCCATCCTCACATTATAAATTTGCATTGCTTCATTATT